TAAACTCCCAACTCTCTTCAAATTTTACACGTACATACATTTTTACTAACGCAAGATCTGTTGTGAAAATGATATATATCTCACCACAAAGAGTCACGCAAGATCTGTTGTGAAAATGATATATATCTCACCACAAAGAGTCACAATTTTCAATACTTTTATCTGCCATAACTTGCGAAACAAGTCAGCCATTTTTTACAACTTTTCTCCCAACCAGAAACCTGAGATGATATGGATATAAATATTCGATTTTCTGTATAAGATGAAGTATAAAAATGGAATACTTCGGTCGAGTACGCATATTTAACATTTTCTCAAAATTATAACATATCTCATGTAACTTAGCACGTCGCAATAGTCATATGATGTTCCACCTTCTGAATTGTGCCATAGGATGAATTCTTTGTTTGTGTGAGAGAGGTGTAGGGGGAATGGAAATGGAAAAACATTGCTCGTACTGGCAATTATTTATGGGTTTTTTATTTTTATACAAAAATATAATTAAAAAAGACAGAAAAGGCAATGATGAAAACTATTGTATAAATGCAAGAGGCAATTTGAAAAGAGAACGATAAAACTTGTCGCCAGTAAACTCGCCTAATAAAAAATCAGGACTAAAGTTTAAATAGTCCACGCCTAACAACTTCTCATTTAAAGAAGAAAAATAAAAAAATACAATCAAAAATTTGATTTAAAGAAGAAAAATAAAAAAATCCAATAAAAAAACTTGGAGATGCCGGGGATTGAACCCGGGGCCTCTCACATGCAAAGCGAGCGCTCTACCACTGAGCTACATCCCCTCATGTCAGAGTGTTGCCAAAGTACCAATATAAGTAAATAGGCCCAGTTGAAAAGTCATACAATTTGTTTGTTGTTCATAAGTGAGTGGAACCCAGCAGACATGTTTTGTGAGTGCGCGAGTCTATGTGGCACTGTGGCAAAGCTATTTATGGAAGCAAACATTAGCAATGTTGTTTAATGATTATTTCTTTGTTTTAACTGAAAAATGTTAATAATGTTCTATTATAATGTATACGTTATGGTCGAAATAATAAGTATGTCAACTTACATTTATTTTGATATCTTGGAACTAAATAGGTACAATGTTTTTTTTATTGGCAAATCAGTGTGGGTATATCGTGAATAACCATATAAACGCGGCCAGGAACTAGAAAAAGTGTTGTAATAGAGTATTTATTTTCGTTAAAATTCAGAGTATGTAACAAAATATCGACACCATTATGGCACCGCTCAGTAAAATTAAGAAGGTAAAGTCATTTCAAATTAGCATATCCATCTCTGCATTTTCTGCAATTTACCTTGTCAAATTTCACTGCATGGAAAACAGGTTCCATCTCTGATCACAGATGTTACAGATTTTAAGATAACCAAACACAACTATTAGGTGTGTCTGGTTACCCTAAATTTTGTAACAATTGTTACAAATTGTTATTGGAAGTCGTCTGTTAACCCGAAAGTTCTGGAAAAGAGAGCGGTTAGAGAGAGAGAAATTTTGACAGTTCTTTCAGTGAGAGTTTGCAAATTCTTGCTGGACAAATTTCTTCTTACAATCACTTGCAACTCTTCTTCTTCTCATTCATCGACATTCAATCAGATGTTTTCTATTGTTTGTTTATTTCTTTTTGTGCTTTCAATTTGAAAATATTTTTTTGGAATTAGCAAGACTAATAGTTTTTGGAGAACAAATTTACAAAATGTGAAAAACGTAAATGTTAATATTATTACATACATGTTAATAAAATAAAAGACTATTTCCAACATTTTCATTTAAAAAACTTGTAAAATTATTATTGCTTCCTTTGTTTTAATTCTCCTTATGGGGGACAAATTGGTTTGTTTTGACAAATCAGCTCATTAGTTGGAAGCTTCTGCAGGAATACCGTCTGTTTACTTTTCGCATTTTCCTTGCTAAAGAGAATAAAACTACCTTTTCTCTCAGAAAGAAGATGCTGGACAATTCCTGCTGGAAAAGTAACCAGACACGCCTATTATCATGGTAGAAGAATACAGAAAGATGCTTGGGAATATTGATATGTTAAAACATTTTAAATCTCTTTTCAAATATAAGTAGTTTTTATATGTTTTCTTATACGACGCCATTCGGAGGTTATTATAATACGCGTTTTTCAAGAATTTCTACAAATTTAAATAAATTTTCAGTCAACATTTTCAATTCCAAAATTGGTTTGACAGTTCCTTGTCCCAGCAGCTGCGTCGATGCGTCTACCTATATTCGTCTACCGCTAGTTTTCAAAGCAATCAGCTGACTTGTGAAAACAAAACTGAAATATTAGTCTGATAAGTCATGTAAAACTCTATTATGGAATGATTGAATTTGGTTTCGCTTAGGACAAGTATGACGACAATATCATTTTCTCCCCTCATTTTTAGTCGAATTTGCATTAAATTCGTTACAAGAAATCATCAGCGTAAATTTTCGTTTTAGTACAGAATCCTTATAACATGTATTGTAAAGATTTTGGCAACATTTTTCAGCTGGTAATTCTGGGGATTTGAACCTTAAAGGTGGAACCAAAGTAAAACTTTATTCGGGGACTACACAAGAACTAGCATCACCGAAAACGTTTCCTTACAATGAAGGTTTTTTATGTGCCAAGAAACGCCGAAAATAAAGTATAATTTATTATTTTTGTAAAAACTGTCACTTGTCATATGAAAATATTTTAGATATGACAAGGTCCAGTTCGTCAGAAAAGAGTTGCCATGGTAAAAGAAAACAATTTGTATGCGCTATGATAGAAGAATACAGGTAGTCGCATTGACACAGCTGCTGGGACAATGAACTGTCAAACCGATTTTGATATTGAAAATAGTGAATGAAAAATTATTGAAATTTGTAAAAATTGTTGAAAAATACATATCAGTACAACCTCCGATTTGCGTCGTATAAGAAAACATATAAAAATCGACTTATTTTTGACAAAACACTTTAAAAATGTTGACATGTTCCCAAGCGTTGATGCATCTACCTATATTCTTCTACCATGGTATGCGCTTATTATATAATATTGCGTAGTATACAGTTCATACAAATTACAATTTCTTTTGAATGGAAAGCTAAATTATATATTATAAAGCTATGATATGTACCAGAACTGCAAGAATGTAAACGTTTTTAATACTATAGCCGATACGATTTTCCGATAAGAATCACTAAGTTGCAGGTTGTGGAAAAGGGCAATACTAAATTAGTTAGTCAAAAATGTTTATAATTCGTATATCGAGGTACCATCAATAAGTGTAAGGGCGCAAGTACATAAGAAGCTTGAAGTCATGGCTGGGCATATTTTGTGACATTTCATAAAGGAATTACAGAGCCGCACTAAAATCCTGCCGTCGTTTTCCTTTATAATTTGACATTAACATGCCTAGCCATGACTTCAAGCTTTTTATGTACTTGCTCCTTAAGAAGGGTGGAAATGGCTACTCTAACTTATTCTCTGTTCAAGAACCTGCAAGAATCTAATGCTTTTGCAATTAGATGGTTTGTGTAAGCACAATGGTTTTATAAATAAACATTTAGACAATGGAATGTTGTTAAATGAATAATTTTGAAAAAAATGACTGTACCTTCTTAATTCTACCATGAGTTTTAATCTCTTAAAAAAACAGTGAAAACGAAACAAACGGAATCCCTACAAAAACTTGCAAGCAATCAGCATTCTTGTCAAAACAGAGCATTTTGTATTTCATTGAAAATAAAAAAGGAAATGAGCCAAAAGGACGAATCTCCGACAGCAAAAAAATTAGGATTGCGATTTCCAAAAACAAATTCCCAGATACTCAGAAGGAAGCAGAGAGGTTGCAAATTATTGAAATATGAGACTTAAGCTGGGAATACATAAATCGCTTATTTGGCTGGCTTAAGTCATCGGCTGGCTTCTTCGGAAATGAACAAAGGAGCCCAGGGCCAAAATCGAACTAGGTCAACCTAAAACTCCTTTGTTCATCTACGAAGAAGCCAGCCGATTACTTAAGCAAGCCAAATATGCGCTTTATGTATTTCCAGCCTTAGGGTGTAAGTACATAAGAAGCTTGAAGTCATGACTAGGCATATTTTGTCACAATTCATAAAGGGATTACAGAACCGCACTTATATAACCTTTATAATTTGACATTATTAAGCCTAGCCATGCTTTTTATGTACTTGCACCTTTATCCTGTAAGAATTTGCAAATTTTCAGTAAAGGAAATGTCAAAATTTCTCACTCAAATCGAGCTTTTTTGCAGAACTTGTGGGTTAACAGATTTCCTCCAGTAAAAATTTACAACAATTGTTACAAAGCAGACAGTCGTATATTCAAAATATAAGTGTTTTAATAAGAATATCGCAACACATTAATCATTAAAATGGAAGTAATGCTAGAACAAATAAAAACATGAATTCAAAAGTAAATTTGACAGATTGCAAAACTCCAATTTTTAGAAAAGAAAAATGAACAAAACTATAATGTGGCGACCGATTCCCATCAGGGGATGTAGCTCAGTGGTAGAGCGCTCGCTTTGCATGTGAGAGGCCCCGGGTTCAATCCCCGGCATCTCCAGAGTTTTTATTGCTCAGATCCATGGGAAACTTTTTTAAACAAATGAATTACCTATTGGATCGGCTGGAAAATTTGTACTGGAACAAAAAGGGTGGGGGATGTAGCTCAGTGGTAGAGCGCTCGCTTTGCATGTGAGAGGCCCCGGGTTCAATCCCCGGCATCTCCAGAGTTTTTATTGCTCAGATCCATGCATAAATAAATTTATGCAAAAAATGCTTAACGTTTCATAGGGGATGTAGCTCAGTGGTAGAGCGCTCGCTTTGCATGTGAGAGGCCCCGGGTTCAATCCCCGGCATCTCCAGTTAATTTTTAGTTTGGGGTACAACGGGTTAATCTTAGTCAATGGTGTTATAATCGATAGATTGAAGCAAATGTAAAAAGGTGGGAATGACCGAGTTTTGAAACTCTAACAGCCTGTTCCACGATATCGAAAGAACACGTTCGCACAACTTTTACACGACAAACAGCTGATTTCCGTTCCACTAAAATCCATCAGAACGAAAATTTGCACGAAAATCAATGCGAACGAAAACGTAAGCGTTTCAGTGTAATTTTGCGTTCCACTATCTTTTTTCTTTCGTACGCATGCGAACACAAATGTCAAAATCAGTCACTTGTGTGTTTGCTGTCGTACGATAACAATTAAGGAAAATCTGTTTTAAAACATAAACATTGCTTAATTGAAAATGGAAACAAAAATGTAAGTAAAAATAATAAATCCAATTTATTATGGGAACAATAAATATATTTTTTTATTTTCTCAATTCCAGCACGAAAAAATCATCAACTACACAGCTGCGGGCACTAGTTGAGTATATGGAGGAGAATCCCGAGTTTGCCAGAGGAGTGCCAATTTTTGGAAGCAGCAGGCAATCCCTGGAGGACCACTGGAAGAAGTTAGTTTTTAAATTAAATACCATGGGTCCTCCTTCCCGCACAATTGCAGAGTGGAAAAAGGTAAGTCAGAAAACTCTGCTTACGATCTATTTGTCTGACCGGCATTACTATTTACAGACGTGGGCCGATCTAAAATCCCGCACCAAAAAGAAAATTGCGGAAAATAAAAAAGGGCTGCAAGTTACAGGTGGTGGTTTATACCGGTTTGAGTGCCTAACGGAGCTGGAAACAGCAATTGACCGGACACTCTTCTTGTCGAAGTCCGCAGCACCAAGTGGTAAAACTTTTGGCTACGCGGACGAAATAGATTACTGCTTCGAGGCATTGGATACCACACCATCAAGACCATCCAAGACCGTAGCAGTGGTAACACCTACCAGGCAGTTCAGTTCCCCAGAATCACATACCCAACAACAACAAATAAACGTAAAAACCTGTACCATCACAACTCAACAATACCAACCACCAGCCAAAAGACAAAAAATCTCACCCCATTTTTTTTTTATTTTGTTTGTTTATTTACAATTTGTTTGTTTACAACTGAACTGTCAGTTGAGACAGAGCCACTGCTGCTTTTTCGCGTTTAAATTAGACATTTGGCGCTTTTTTTTGCCTTATTTCGCGATTAATTTTGCCAAAAAATATTTTGCAACACTGAATCACGTAAGGCTATGCGAAAGAAAGAACGAAAGTTAGTGAGATCGTGGAACAGGCTGTAAGGATAAGTCTAAAAATTCGGGTTAAGTCAAAAGAAAAAGGTTAGGAAGCGCTAAATACAAATAGTAATTGTTGGACAGGAATGCTGTTCTTTTTTTGGTATACCAATAACTCAAGGCAGGCCTAATCCCTGTTTCGTTAAAAAAAAAACTGTTTTTGATCACGTTTACCTAAGAGAAATACATGGAAAAGTTTATTAGGTCTGTACGAATGATAATTCAGTATTTTGTACAAAATATTGCAAATGTTGTTAGATATCCCAAATTCCAGTTAATGGGAGCGAACATAGAGAACAATTGTGAGAGTTGAATTACTGAGAGTTTGCAAAATTTTACTGGAAAATTTTACTTAGTAAACAAGTAAAAAACATTAAGTTCGGCCGGGCCGTACTTTTAATACCCACCACCTTAGGGTAAAGGAATCATTTTTATATAATATTTAATATTTTTAAGTATCTGAATTGAAGCGTGCTCTACTTTAAACTACAAATACCAGTAAGACCTTTTGCATGATGCAGTTAAACTTATCAAAAAAGCATTAAGTGGGTGAGGCCGTTATATGGGGCCATACCAAAACGGGAACCTCTACAGACAATTTTATACTTTAAGAATTTCATGGGTAAAGGTAACTAGGATTATCAAAATACCGAATATCGGTGGGTATCGAATTATGTGCGCTATAGGAAAACATGGACCTAAATATTCAATGTTTGCCACCGGAACCAGAAGCCATTATGACCCACAAATACCGTTATATGGGGGCTATACCAAAACGTGGGCTGATATGTCTCATTTTCAATACCAACCATCCTAGGCAAAATGCAAATTGTTCCGCTAAATTTACGCTCTATGTAAAATAATGTGGGGTGTATCGTGATTTCAACAGACGTACATCGTTAAATCGACTTAGAATTTTATGCTGATTATGAATATATACTTTATGGGTTCTATAATAAATATTTATGGATGATACAAACCTTTCCAAGGTGGAGGCTATAAAAAGTAAAAAATCAGCAGATTGAAAAATAGGCAATAATTTACTTATTTTTATCATTTTTTATGTTTTCTTATACGACGCCAATCAGAGGTTGTTATGATATGCCTTTTGAAGAATTTTTACAAATTTCGGTAATTTTTCGTTCAAAAATTTCAATTTCAAAATTAGTTTGACAGTCAATTGTCCGCAGCAGCTGTGTCGATACGACTACCTGTACTATTTTACCATGATTATTATTAATGATAGGTTCATACAGGCTAAGTGATCAATGGCGTTGCCAACTATCAAGTTTTTATAGACAATTGTACGGCGTAATCGTAGTTACTGGTTCAAAAATCATTTGTTACATCTTTTGTTTACTTATTCTGGATACTTTTCCTGCAGGAATTGTCTGGCAACTCCTTCCTGAATGAGTATGGTAGTTTTATTCTCTTTTGCAAGAAAACTCAGAAAAGTAAACATAGACAAAAATCTTGCAAGCAATCAGCTGATTTGTCAAAACAAAATAATTTGTCCGCAATAATGAATTTTGAAGGATTCATAAATTTTAATCTAAAACGAAAATTTTGTAAACTTTCGATTTTAATAAAAAAATTAATGTCCTTTAATATAAAATTAATATTAAGATTCAACTAGACGAATAGGCTTTTAACTTAGTATAATTGTAGGGGATGTAGCTCAGTGGTAGAGCGCTCGCTTTGCTCAGTGGTAGAGCGCTCGCTTTGCATGTGAGAGGCCCCGGGTTCAATCCCCGGCATCTCCAGATAATTTTTAAATTAGTTTCGAAAATTTAGTTATAGATCATATGGCAGATGACAGACAGTTTTTCACTAACGTTTACTACAATAGTCTTGTTTTAAAAACCCCGGTAGAAATTTAGATAATAAATCGATTCTATTCTGACAGTCCGTTATATAAGGTGTTTATGTGCCGGATTTTTAACGACAAAAGTATCCTCGGAAATGTGTATGAAATGTTTGCCTCATTGGGTGTGTCTGCTTGCCCTAAGTTTTTTTTGTAACTACTGTTGCACATTGTTATTGGAATTCTCTGTTTGCGCTCTACATTCCTTTTTATGGCGGTAAATTGCTTCGTTTTGAAAAATCAACTGATTGCTTGATTGTTTTAAGGTGAAAATACATAAAACTCTTTTTTAGGCTACATAAGTAGCTTGGCATCATGGATAGTGTCAATTCTAATGGGAAAGGACGACAGGATTCGAGTGCGGCTTTGGCATCCCTTTATGATAGGTCACAAAATATGCCATGCGAAGACTTCAAGCTGCTTATGTACCCACACCTTTAAACAAAACTAACTGCCTTCAGTCATTGGCTTCTTCTTCGGAAATGAACAGAGCCTAGCCTAGAGACAAAATCGAATTTAGTCAACCTAAAACTCCTCCGTTCCTCTACGAAGAACCCAGCTGATGCCTTAAGCCAGTTAGTTTCGTTTAAAGGTGTGGGTACATAAGCAGCTTGAAGTCTTCGCATGGCATATTTTGTGACACATAATAACCGGATGCCAAAACCGCACTCGACTCCTGCCGTCATCTCTCCTTATAATTTGGCATTAATATGCCTATCCATGATGCCAAGCTATTTATGTATCCTCACCTTAATGTTTAACGGATTACTAATAACATGTTAATATAGGGAAATACCTTCATGTGACGTTTCCATTTGTTACAAGTAATTAATGACAAAACGCCTGGCTTAATAGGGAGTATGTGATGCATCTCTGGCTTTGCACTGTGTTATACTAGGTCTGCCCAGTTACCCATTTGCTAACAAAAATGTACTATAAAAGAGATCGATTCGAGGAAGAAATGTTGCAGTTCTTTTAATGAAAGGTTTCAAATTCTTGCCAAACAAATTTTTTCTTGCAATCTCTTGCAACTTTTCCATTTGTGGTTAATTTTTTGCATGGTAGAAGAATACAGGTAGATGCATCAACGCTTGGGAACATTGATATGTCAAAAAACAATTTTAAATATCTTTTCAAATATAAGTAGATTTATATTTGTTTTCTTATACGACGTCATTTGGAGGTTATTATAATACGCGTTTTCCAACAATTTTAACAAATTTAAATAATTTTTCATTCAACATTTTCAATTCCATAATTGGTTTACTTGACTTTCTCAGAGAAAAGTTGCTGGACTGTTATTGCAGGAAACTATGTTTCTGTTCTTTAATGGTATAAGAATACAGGAAGTCGCATCGACTTAGCTGCTGAGACAATGAAATTCAAAACTTTTTTTTTTTGAAATTGAAAACTTTAAAATGAAAAATTATTCAAATTTGTGAAAATTGTTAAAAAAAATATATATCATAACAACCTCCGATTGGTGTCGTATAAGAAAACTTATAAAAAACTAAAAAAAAAAAAACTGAAAAAAAAAAATTAAAAACAATTTTGACTTATTAATGTTGCGTTGCGTTGACTTATTAATGTTCCCAAGCGATAATACCTGTATTCTTCTACAATGTCCAATGGTTATTGCAACATGAACCTGTTAGGCAGAGTAAAACTGGACTATTTAAAAAATGGAACGGAAAATGAATGCTTTGAAGAGTTAGAAAAGATTTGAGATCCTTTTTATGCAAAAAATTTTCATGTATCAATTTATGTTTATCAGAGACCATTCTATATAGCCCGGGCTATGTGAGTCCTTTTCCACATTTACACGGTTGTATTCATTAAACCGCAGTTTGGTTTTAAAGGTCTGTCTCTTAAATTTTAATCATCCATTTTTGATATAAATAAATCCATAATTATGGGGGATGTAGCTCAGTGGTAGAGCGCTCGCTTTGCATGTGAGAGGCCCCGGGTTCAATCCCCGGCATCTCCAAGTATAATTTTGTCCCAGAGACATTTCCTTTGCTGCAAACAGCTGGATATGGAGACTCTTGAATACAACTGTTGATTAGACTTCAATTTGTGTTCACAAATTATAATTCAAATATACAGGGTGAGATAAAAAAACTGGAACAAAGTAAACGCCATAATTTTTACTTTTTTTAATTTTATTGAATGAAAGCAAAAAATTTCGGAAATAGCATCAAATTGTAGAATAATTTTAGATTTGCTCGAATTGGTCACCTTTCGCACGAATTATGGCCTTCAAACCGACATGAATCCGTCACACGCTGCCCGAATGCTGGTGGCCAACCGAAGGTTCATATTTTCAGCTAACCTCTTTGGCAAGTAAACACGATCATTTTGCTTGTTTACAAACTGCTGGAAAACTAATGTTATCTCATCGGAGAAAACCAAATTCGGCAGTTCACCACTTTCGGCCAAGTGAAGCGACTCTTTAGCTGTTTTAAGTCTATTTTCTTTCAATGGCTTCACCCCGGCCAAATATAAAGAAATCACGCTTGAATTCTATCACGAATAACTTTTTTGTCTGGAAAATTCTCACCAAAATGCTTTTGAAAGCTTGCACTGGAATAATTTTAACAGCTGTCGGACGAGTGGCTTAGAAATGACAGCAGTCTGAAGTTGGTTGCAGTTTTTTCATCTCACCCTGTATAGCTCTTCATTGATGACATGGTAGATATGATGAACAGATTATGTTATTGCCTTTGACTTCACTTTGTGAAATATTTGAAACTTCGGAGAGTTCCTTTGGGCATAAATATTTAGGGGAAATATTCTTTGCAGTTTTTAGTAACCAAAAATCTTTCGTCGACAATATAAAAATATTTATATATTTGGTTTTGTATCTTCTCTTTAGGATACCTTACAAGGTAATATTGTTTCTTATTTATTCTATCCCTACCATTATTGTTTTACTCATCCACAATCTTCGGATGTGTTATCTAAATATTGAAGTAATAATTCAGGATAAAATTAAGGATATTTTTATACCCTCCACCATACTATGGAGGGTATATTCATTTTGTCATTCCGTTTGTAACTCCTCGAAATACTCATGTCAGACCCAACAAAGTATATATATTCTTGATCAGCGTAAAAATTTTAAGACGATTTAGCCATGTCCGTCTGTCTGTCTGTCCGTCTGTCTGTCTGTTGTAATCACGCTATCTTTCAAACAAATTGAGATAGAAGGCTAAAATTTTGCACACATGTATATTTTGCCAGTAGGCAGGTTAAGTTCGAAAATGGGCCATGTAGGTCCAAGTTATCATATAGCCCCCATATAATGGTACCTCCTGATATTCGGTATTTTGATGATTTTAGCAACATTATTCATCGGAATTGTTTCAAATTTGGCATTTGAAGTTCGTAATGGATACTACATCGTAAGTCAAAAAATGAGCCATGTAGGTTCACGTCTTCATATAGTCCCCATATAACGGTACCCCCCCGATATTCGGGATTTTAATGATTTTAGCGACTTTGTTTACCGGAATCGTTTCAAATTTGGTATTTGAAGTTTGTAATGGATACTAAATCCTAAGTCAAAAAATGAGCCATGTAGGTCCACGTCTTCGTATAGCCCCCATATAAGGGTACCCCCCGATTTTCGGTATTTTGATGATTTAAGCGACATTATTTAGCGAAATCGTTCCAAATTTGGTATTTGAAGTTCGTAATGGATACTACGGCCTAAGACAGAAAATTTTCTGTGCAGGTCCACATCTTCATATAGCCCCATATACCGTACCCCCCGATATTCGGTATTTTGATGATTTTAGGGACATTATTTATTGTTTCAAATTTCGCATGTGAAGTTCGTAATGGATACTTCAGCCCATGCCAGAAAATTGCAGGTCAGTGCAGGTCCACGTTTTCGAATAGCCCCCATATAACGGTACCCCCGCCCCCCAATATTCGGTATTTTAATGATTTTAACTACATTAACTACATAAACAGATTTTTCTTCAAGTTTCACAATTAAATTATTGTAACAACTTATGACAAAATATGCCTATGCAGGCCCACGTCGTCGTATAAGCACTCGGTATTCTTAAGATTTTAACAGAATTTTTAACGGATTTTATTTGTACCAAAAGGTGGAGGGTATTAAAAGTTCGGCCCGGCCGATCTTACAGCTTTTTTACTTGTTTTACTTTATATTGAAAAATGTAATTATTTATGGGGGATGTAGCTCAGTGGTAGAGCGCTCGCTTTGCATGTGAGAGGCCCCGGGTTCAATCCCCGGCATCTCCAGTATTTTAAACTTGATAGAATACTTTACAATCAATTTGAGTAAAAAACGTAATTTCAAACTGCTATTCGCTAAATTAGAACTACATCAAAATAAAATAGAAAATTTAACGTCTAATGTTATAGGGG